TCCAAAATGAGCGTACGCATGGGTCAGAGCTGGCGTGAGGCACCGCACATTTTCACGTCAAGTTTGGATTTTATAAATCACAACCTTGGCGTAAAAAGTGGCGTACGCAAGTTTCTGGGCTCACATTGTGCGTACGCCAGTTTTATAAATCCAACCCCAGGTCTGTCACAGATGTGTTTTTTCAAGCTTCCACATTGTTCACCATAACTTTACAGTAATTTATGCCATCGTAAAAATTCTCTTGGTTTATGAAAACTGAGAAACTGTGCTTAAAGCCAACGTGCATTTATTATGGAAACGTCCTAGTTCACCCCCACTGTTCAGCCCGTAAAAAACATTGTGAGACACCCCCGCCCCCCCAGAACCATTCGACTAATCACAATCAAGATGAACGTTTATCTTGTGACTGGAGAAATAACCCATCGTTCCACTCTGGACTCCACTCACCCACCGAAAACAAAAACTCATCGGATCCAATCGATTCACACAAATGATGTATTTTGTTTTGAAAACTACAAATTTCGCAAAAAAGTGACAAGTTTAGTTATGATGACTCACTGGGGTTCCTGGGAGACCTGATTTTCCAGATGGTCCTGGTTCACCTGGTTTGCCCTGAAAAGAAATAAAGAAATGAATCAAACAGTAGAGTGAGAAGGGAGAGGAGAAATGACTGCAGTTCTGCTTCACATCTTATCTGTCTGCCACCTTTGTGTCACTGTTGTCACAGTAATTATTATTAATGACTCACAGGTTCTCCTCTTGCTCCAACAAGTCCTTCTGGGCCTGGAGGTCCTTTAACACCCTGCAGACACAAACAGCAGGTTTTCATGTCCACGTCACTGTGTTGTGCTGCAAAGCAGCAGCGTTTCCATGTCTCCAGCAGAGCATGGAACCCTATTTTATGTTACATTTTTTATTATTATTTATTATTTATTATTATTACCTCTGCCAAGGGCGAGGTAATGTTTTCGGTCGCGTTTGTCTTTCTGTCTGTGGACAACATTACTCAAAAACTTGAAGACGGATTGTCATGGTATTTTTACCACATGTGGGTACTGGGCCAAGGAACACACCTTTACATTTTAGTGAGGTACCGGATCACGATGCAGACACAGGAATTTTTCTCTTAATTCGAGCGAATCAGCCAGTCTTCACAATGTGTCATTACATTACATGCATGTCTGTAGGAAACAGGAAGTAGTAGTTGCAAGCTCCTCCGTCCTAGGACAATGGGCAAAACTTCAGGAACGTGTTGCTACTATCAGGAAAGTTGTTATCATTCTGTTATCAACTAGTTCTGTTGATGTTACTGCTGTCTGGAGACGTACAAAAAGAAATGTGCTTCTCTGCACCTTACAGGAGTAACTGAGAAGACGCGGGTACAACCGAGCCGAAGGTATAACGTCAGACCAATCTTAAATGGTTAATATGAGGGAGGCGCTCCCAACACAGGACAGCCGATTTTCACAGGGGAACTGAATTTCGTACAACACCGGTACCAGGATCTGCTCATCAACAATGTGAGGTAAGTGTTCACTACGTCAGAACTTATTGGGCAAATATGTTTCCATCCATCCATCCATCCATCCATCCATCCATCCATCCATCCATCCATCCATTTTCTTCCACCTATCCAGAGTCGGGTCGCGGGGGCAGCAGCTTCAGAAGGGAGGCCCAGACCTCCCTCTCCCCAGCCACTTCTTCCAGCTCCTCCGGGGG